AATCGCATGGTGGCAGGACGGCTTTGGCATCTGCCAATCAATCTTCCCTTTGAGACAAGCTTCTAATTCCGCCGTCCCCCAAAATGTGAACAACAGCGTAATTCTTGAGAGGTTCACCATTGTTGAATAAGCTACAAAAGGCGGAAAAGGCGAACTGTCGTTCTGTACTGCCACTGTCTCAAGCTTCAGTCTTGGCAGGCAAGGTGCCCCCGATTGGTGTCATTCCATCCGGCGCAGCAGGCTCAGAATGCAAGCAACAATCGGAAGCCGACTTACAATTCAAATCATGCGTGGCATGGCTTGGGCTCCTTCGGTAGCTCAGGATCTTTTCACCGTGTACGAAGCGCGGCAGGGTGCAGAGTATGGGTGCACACCTTAGGCTGGGAGACTGTGCTTCTAAAAGCACATCTCACATGCATCATGCTTGTGGATCCCATGTCAAGCTCGTTAGACCGCTTGTTGGATTGAATCCGCACCAGAGTCGTGCCTTCAGCCGAAGGGAGGAAGCGCCAGAGAAATTGCTTGACGGTTTCGCAAGCCAAATCCTGCGGGGTAGCCGCTGTACGGGATTTCCAAAGGCTGGGTATTTCGCGAAAGGATCGAAAAAGTTCATCGGAAAGTCCATATGTCTTCGGTGGACATGGGTGGACCGTAGGGACATGCAGGACCTTCTTGCATCTATTTCACGGGAGTTCGTTCGTCCGGAGAAAATACCGGTGTGTTTGTGGACCAAGCAACCCTTGCTTTGTGCATATGTAGTAGTGAATGTCCTTGCAGATTTGCAACCTATGCCTCAATCCGGCACGTCGCAACATGTCGTAACACTGGCCAGTGTGTTTTCACTTCTTTTGGCCTCCCAGCAATGGCAAGCGTGTTAGCTCCACTTTGTAGGTTCCGTTGGCACACCTTGCCCGTCGCGCTCCATACAGCTTGAGGTTTTGCTTCGGGCGAATCAAGTTCCAGGGGCAGGAAAGTCCACCGACCTGGGTGGTGCTCGGCCTCCTAGTGGAGAAAGGCGGGATGCAGATGCAGAGTCATTCCTGAGCACTGGCTTGCTAGGATGCCATTCCCAGTGTTTGCACCACGCTTCCATGAAACTGACGACGGGTCATTCGATTGAAATGATGTTTGGCCTTTTGCCAAGCTCTTGAGGACGGCGATGGATGAAGCCAGATGAAGAACGCTTTCCGAAAGACCTGACGTTCTCTGATGCGCCTTGCCTGCCCCAACTCGACATGCACGCTTGCCTGAAGCGTGCAAGTTCAGAGAGAGCGTTTTGAACAACTGCGGTGGACATAGCAGAACGACCCACTTTGGAAAGGTGTTCGAGACAGCAGGCTGAGAACCAAAAGTGGGCTTGACACCGCAGTGAGCTGGCCGCCTTTGCTTCGGACTTTTTCCGTGCAGGGATGGTTCGCTAGAAGCAAAACAGTTCTCCAGGAAGCATTTTTTGGGGATGAGGGGGTATTGAAGGTTATTGAGAAAACTAGCACAACATAGAATAGTGGCCTTGACCGGAGATCCCACTCTGTTGCCAGTTGTGCGAACACTGATCCTTCTACCAGCGGGGTGAATCAGCGATGGCATCTTGCAAATGCCATGCCTGGCCCTTTGCCCAGGCCGAGAGGATGCATGGGATGCAATGACTTTGGGTACTCCAGCTTTGCACCAGCGCGCGGCGCATTGCCAAAGCGCCATCCATGGCATTTGGTGGCGTGACGGTTTGTATGCGGTAGGCCTTCTCTGAAACAAGTAAGGCAGACCCTGTAACAGCGGTTTCACTTGGACAAGTTTCACACTTCGGTGGATAGTAGGCGCGACCTCAAGCGTCAGTGCTCGCTAGATGACTGGGGTCCGATGTTCGCCATTGAGAGGCGTTCCTCACCTCACACTCTGCCAAGCAGCAGTGCCAAGCCTCAGCCAAGCTGAAAACGACTCCTATCCCTCGCCGAAAGCGATGCAAAAATGCCTGCAAGAGAGCCAGGCGAAGCCGTGCCTGCGGCTCAAGCCCCTGAAGTGCAATGTTATGAAAGTTCTTGGACACATGTTAGATGTGTTTCTGAGAAATAGGTAATCGCGTCAGGAAGGCAAGCGGTGTATTTGCCTGTAAGCTTGCGCGCGCCTCGGGCATCAAGTGGCATCAAACAAGGCAATAGCAGCAGAGGCAACTCGTATTGTGGCAAACAAGAGCAATCCACGGATCCACGTGACACTTTTTTCACAGCTGAATGGCATTGATCATTTGCCTTTCGACTGAGCTTTCCCCTCTTGAAGTTTGACTGCAAGCCGCCAGTTGCGCGCCGTTGGCTTACCGCTGATCAATTTGTGTCGTGACCACTGCCTGAAGGGAATGCTTGAAGGGTCTATCCGTCCCGCTGCAGCGCATGTTTTTGACCCCTTGACGTACTCAACCTAGAACCCTTTCCAAGTCTAGCCAATCTCCCCTTGTCAAGGCGCAAGTTATCTCCGTGATGCGTTGCTCTCTGCTCAGGCCAATCAAAGGCTCCTGGCGCTGCCCCAGCCATGGTCTATGGCCCGCTTCCAGAAAGGCACGACCTTCCTCGGGTAGAAATGAATGTTTCTTGTGTTCACAGCAACGGATCAAGTCATCCCCCTTGTCGTGCGAACACCAGGCTCCCGGCATTCTGGAAGGAGTGGCGCCAAGGAGACTGTTGCTTTGTGCTGTGTAGATAGGAGCTGGCGCCCTTCGAAAGTGTCCATTCAGAAAGTATGTTTCCTGTGAGTCGGATTGCGTTCATTGGCTGAGGTCTTAAATAGTAGCCAGGTAGGTCTTTTGTGCAACGTGCCTTGGGCATCTTTGGGCCAGACACTGCGCAGGACTTGTTTCGGGAGCTGGACCGCCTTGGTGGGGGGCTGAGCTGGCCTTGAATGCTTGGCATCCAACCTGGGAGCTGAGGCCCAGACAGCCATGAAGGCTGGCTTGGGGAGGGGAGCGACGGTACCCCAAGATGTGCATTCTTCATGCAACTGAACATTGTTCTCTAATCCAGTATCTGAAAGGAGCAGAGTTCTGTTGTTCAAAGGCTGCTTGTCGCGTGTGCTGACTGCAGGCCCTGTAGGCTTACTTGCCCGGCTCAACAGCCAGCAACTGCTTCAACGTCCTCCTGCCTTGGCCTCGATAGGGTGCGACGTCCAAGGGGAGCAAAACCAGGTTGCACGAAATACCACAAGCGCACCCTGCATTGGGGGGGGAGGGACAAGTTTTCCCATGATGATGTGTGGGTTTTGGCTTGGTTCTAGCCCCGAAGACCCGACCCGAAGAGTGCAAGTGCACGGAGGGTACAAGATGGCCACTTCAGTGAAATTAACAAGCGGCACACAAGCAATGTGTCATCCGGATCCAGAGCGGTTCCTGCCAGAGGGATGTCCATAGCCTTTGATCCAAAGTGTTTCGCGCTTTGGGGACCTGATTCAGTGTCATTGCCCGCATCCCTTCCGCTATCGTACATGCTAACATTTCTCACCAAAGGATCTCGAGATGCAGTGTCGTCCTGCAGACCGGGTGGCATATATTCGAAAGTTTCACCGTGCCTTTCAAGAGCACCTTTCACCAGATGCAATTTGTCAAAGTTGAAACTGACACGGAATCCCGAACGGGGTCCTTTAGAAAAGGGTGCAGTGGAGTTCCATGCTTAGTCTTAGGGGGGTGCGGTTGTTTGGTGGTCGATGCCAGTGGACAGAGGACTTCACTCGCCTGCTGGGCGCCTTGGGTAAGCGCAGCCTCTGGAACTTTGTGGCATCTGTGCTGTGCGAGGCAAGGGCTTTGGGGGAGGGCACCCCGCAGAGGGCAATGACAAGAGTTGTCCTTAGGTTATGATTGTTTGGGCCATGTTGGCACAGATGTACCCGTTGGTGTCCTCTAGAGACGTTGCAGACGGCCACGTTCCTCAGCAGAATTACCTTTTGTACTGTAGGGCTTCGAATGGATCGGTCTCATGATTGACATTTTCGGGGCGGTCGGCGGGCCAAAGCGAGCGTGCGGGTGCGAGTGCGGGTGCGGGTGCGGGTGCCGGTGCTGGTGCGGGTGCGGGTGCAGGTGCGGGTGCGGGTGCGTGCGCGTGCGCGCGTGCGTGCGTGCGTGCGTGCGTGCGTGCGTGCGTGCGTGTGTGCGTGTGTGTGTGTGTGGGTGTGTGTGTGTGTGTCTCTGTGTGTCTCTGTGTGTCTCTGTGTGTCCCTGTGTGTGTGTCTCTGTGTGTGTGTCTCTGTGTGTGTGTGTCTCTGTGTGTGTGTCTCTGTGTGTGTGTCTCTGTGTGTG